AAAAAAAAAAAAAAAAAAGAGTTGCTTGCTCTCCCACATGCTTCTATAAATAGAGTTTGTTGACAACTCTCCGGTCTGAACTATGAGTACCTGACTGACCGCAGAATAATGGCCACTATGGAAATGGGCCCTGCTGTGGGAGAAAACACAGACGTTGACGTCATGCGGCCGCCATCAGGGAACATACACAAAGAACTCAATTGCTATTGAACGCAGGTCAGAATCAGTAATTCGTTTTTTTCCCCCGCATCCTTCCTTTGTAGTTTAAAAGACCACCAAATTCTCAATCGACAAAAAACATACGGTGCATTGAGCTGCAGTGGGACTATGACTGGGACACCAGGTGTTTCGGGCAGGAATTTAAGATCTGTGGGATGCAGAGCAAATTGTAAAAGCCTACGATAAACTGCCATGAGGTAATGGAGCAAATGCAGAAATTCAAAGCTTTTATGTTAATGAAAACAGGCTTTACAGGCTTTGTTTTTTTATGAATCATTATTTTCTAATGTCTGTCTACAGTGGAAGGCAGCATGGTCGACTTTGAGCAGTTTTTACAAGTTCCATTTTCCAGAAAAGCAAATAAAATGAACCTTAAGGTGAGGTCAGCTGAGGTTTCCAAGGTCCAAAACAAACTTTGGACTCGTAGTTATTTATCTAGTTTTGAGACAACAGTGCTCCTGATAAAATGGTAGTACACATAAAACATTTAGCAACTAGAAGAAAGTGTATTATGGAATCGTGACTCCAACTTTTACAACGACACAAAGAGGCTCTAGTTGTAAAAATAACCACACGCAATCAGTGATTAGCATCACATTTGATGAACACAATCACAACAAGTCACTAATCAGTAACAGCCACAAAGAGCCTGATCAGAAGATTCATCAAGCTGGATTTTTTGACTTGAAGTCTCTCAATTATGACCTTACAGATGATTAAAGCTTGCCTGTGATGCACATCTGGCTCCTGAAGGGACCATAGAGAGTTGTTTTATTTTTAATAATGTCCTGCACCTTCAGACAAGGGGTTCCTTTAACAAATTACACACTGTGCATGTTTGTGGTAACGCACATATTTCACCAAAAAAAAAGAAAAAAGAAAACAGACTGGAGGCTGTTACAACAAAAACCAGGCAAAGTGTTTATAGTCAAACTTTTACAAAACAACAAACGATTCCAAACTTATAATCCATTAATGATGATGTTCATTGACACACAGCGCCAAAACAGCAACAACTAGTCAGTGCTGCGGTTGTACGAGCACATAGGAAACAACGAGGGCTTTGGTAGGTTAGAATTATACGTTGTCATGGCGACGTTAAAGAGGAAATAGTCTGACTCACTGGATGTAGGTTGCGAGTACAAGCCTGTCACTGGTTACTCGTTTTAGACAGCTTTGTCTTCTCTTTCCACTACCTCTCATTTTCAAAATCCACTTTGCTACAGAAAACAACAACAACAACCTCCAAGCGGCAACGTGCCACGCTGAAAATTTAAAATTTCGCCATGGATTTGGATCGTGCAGTAAGCTGAAAGTTTTTTGGGGGGTGAATATTCAATGACAGCGCTCGCCTCCCAGCATGCAAATGTTCCACCAACAATTCCATCCATCACGATTCTAAGGGAACACAGAAGCCGCATTCTGTGCTTAGCTCTGCCAAAGACCATTGTGGTTGGTTTCAAAAAATTACAAACAAGTCAGAGTGTTTTTTTCCCCCGATAGCAGATTGATAATAAGGTGCAGTCAGACCACCGTGCACTACGAGACTAGAGGGGAGAAGACTGCTTTGTGACGAGGACATCAAAAAGACAGAAAAAGTGCCACTCGTTATCCTCTTTAAAACCAATCGGTGGTGTCTTCTCCGAGTTTAACCAGTCAGTGTCGAGTCCTACTTAAAAGCACCAACCTCGAAGACTATTTTCTCTGAGAAAGAGGCTCTGCAGGGACGGTCAGAACATGCAACAAAAGCTGAAGCCGCTCTAAATCAGCCCTTAAGTTCCTGCACTAAATACCAGCCTATAGTGCGTTTGTGTGTCTGCATGTGTGTTTGTGTGAAGGAGAGAGCAGGGAGATACTTACTGCAGCCTGTTGTCTTTTGAGCTTGTCTCGGTACTCCTCCAGCTCCTGCAGGTTCAGCTCAGGTGGGAGTTTCTATAATCACACACACAAACACATAACCTTAATGTTACTTTACAATACATCCTCCTACACAGCTGATAACGCCCAACACCTCTGCATCTGTAGAACCCTCCGCACAGCTTCCAGACACATCGAGCATTCGACATCGTGGAAGTCCTTGTTCTGTGCGTGTTAAACAGAAGAAAAAAAAATATATTCAAAATAGAACTATGGCAGTATAAAAGTTGTGGCGCTAAGGGCCATAGCAGGGATTTCATTTATCACGAGAGAGCTAATCTTCACTCCTGAGCATCTTAATTTTTCAAAGATATCTCACTAGGCATTTCAAAGAGCTTAAGCTGGCTTCACTGGTGTGTAAGAAGATAGCTGCGGCTTTTCCTCCATTTAGAAAAAAAACAAAAAGAATCCGCTCCAAAAATATACTCCGAGATCATAAGTCAGATTAGTCAAGAAGGTGGAGAACGTTATTTAGTAAACAGCAAACAAACTCTGCTAGGGAAAGAAGATATTACAAATCCATGGCCCAAAGGATGATAGGTAATTACTTTCCCCTTGACTGAGAGTCTCATTTCAGATGGTGTAGCAATACCAAGATAAATCTAATGAGATTTCACACCCTTCTTCTGTTGAACGGATGCAATCCATCAATCGGGACGTCAGCGGTATGCACGCGGCTCGGCAGAAGTGTAAGAGACAGCAGCTCAGGTGAGAAAGAGCTTTATTACTGCCAGTCAGACGAGGTTCAGAACGCAATAAACCATATTTATATCACATTAGAATGCAATATTGCTTTTATCAAAGTTACTGAAACGTGGAGTTTGATGGAATCATTTTGCAGAGGGGGCGTGGGGAAGTCTCTTGTCGTCATTTTAAAGCGCGTTCATGCGGAGCGTCTGACCTCCAGTTCGTGCTGCACCATGTCGAAGGAGTCGTTGGAGAAGTAGACCTCCTCGATGCTGTCGATGATCTCCTGCTCCGCCAGGGGGTCGATGGGCTGCTCCCTCAGCTCCCGCAACTCCTCCTGAAAGAAGGCGAGACACACGAGAAGAGACAGCGACAAAGATGGAGAGTTAAAAGATGTCCTTGACGTAAGCACTCGCGAGTTCCAGACACAGTGGGACATTAACAAAAAGGTTCAAGACAGAGAGTGACGTCATTTTCCCAGAAATGAAAATAAATATGATCATTGAGAAAAAGCGGAGAAAGGGAATGAAAACATCACGGGGGGAAAAAAGCAGCCAGAGGAAAGAACAATAAAGGGCGGAGAGACAGGACTGGAGAACTAAGAGATACATGGGAGTTTAAGGACAAAGGTGAAGGATAAGGTGAGGAGAGGCCAGAAGAATAAATGAGGCAGAGAACAAGGGACAAGGTGAGGGAGAGGGGGAAGAGGGGGGGATGAACTGGAAGCAGAAAAAAAATAAAGGAGAAAAATGTTAATCATGAACTTTGGCAGAGGATTGCATCTTGTTTCGTTGGACAGCTGTCATGGGGGTTGGCAGGCAGCCATGAGAGGAAAAGACAAGAATACACGGATGACCAAAAAAGAAAAAAAGAACGGAGATTCCTCTTCTGAGAATCTCTGAGAAACTTCAGAGGCTTATTGATTAACATGCTGTGCATCCGTCGAGGCTTATTGCTGCAATGAGAGTTTTAGATGAAGGGGTTGTAAGCCCACATCCCCTTCTGACTGCCTTGATGAGTTAAGATACAGTTACGTTAGGGGGGGTGACTGTGTTTTTGCATTATACATGGAAAATTTGCTTTAAAATAAAACCCCTTCCTATTATTACCACATTATTTGAGCACCAGACGTCATATCAAACCATACAACAATTTCTGAGATATTTCGATGTAGACTATTGCCATTGGTCTGATTAGATTCTCAGTCATCCAGGTCAGGGTTATTCTCGTAGTTTAATCATAGCAACTGGACTTGCTTGAGTTCCTTGAAGACGTTTCACCTCTCATCCAAGAGGCTTCATCAGTTCTGCCTGACTTGTTAGGAGTTCCAGATACGAAGGACTCACATAACGAGGGGGAGGAGCAGCAAACCACCAACTGAAACCGAAAAAGATATAAGTATCTGGAACTCTCAACCAGTCAGTCAGAACTGATGAAGCCTCTTGGATGAGAGGTGAAACGGTTTTAAGAAACTCAAGCAAGTCCAGTCGCTACAATTAAACTACGAGAACTATTGCCATTTCTAAGCCCACACTGGAAATAATAAATACTGTGAACCAAATATAAACATTAACATGGCATCTAAAGCAGAGAAAAAACCTCCTGCTTAGTAGAATCCTTACATATGCCCTGAGTCTAAGTCCTTTATTTACATTAGTGCTGAGTCTAACGTCTGCTTTGTGTTGGATCAATACATTGAGGGATCAGCACATTAAAGCATAATGGTGCTAAAAATAGGCCGTGAGCTCAGGAAGAAGGACTTGGACGGATATGGAATTATGGGATAAATGCAATCTATGTACCCCTATATGCATTTATACTCCATTAAATAAACACCGTCAAGAGATAGCGAACACTGATCACGAAAACCTTGTTACACACCTGCCTAAGCACAAATATTTTCCCCAGCTACTATCAGCGAGAGTCATGCAGCAGGGCGATGAGGTGTGGGTGGCACGGTGTCTCCCTGAGTGACATTTCTAAGAGGCAATGCTGCTGTGAGTAATTTTAACGCGCATGGTAAAATATAGCCTCATCTAATTCAATTACACAAACGTGAATCCCCCCCTAATGCCATATATATAACTTTCATACAAGGCAGCTGGGAGGTTTGAAGCGAAGCATTAAAACGTGTTTAACGTGTGCGTCCGTGCATCGGCGCCGCACACGTCTTCCAGCGGGCGTTGCCATGGTCGAATCAGGTAAAGGAGTGAGCGAGAAGCCCCCCGGGGGAAATGAGTGGGTGAGCGCGTGAGATTGGAAAGGAGGGTTAGAGGTGGGAGATCGTGGTGCTGCGATCAAAAGGGTGGGTGGGAAATCAGCTCAAATGAGAGGGAAAGTGGGAAAAAAAAAAAAAAGGGAAGGAGGGGGATGAGGCGGATGAGTCATTGGTAGCCGAAGTTATAGCAGAAAGACAAATACAGAGGAGGGAGGAAAACAAAAGACAATGATGTGTCTCATGTGAAGCCACTTAGGGCAATTCACCACCACTGTGTTACTTTATTTCTCTTGTTCCTCTTTTTGCCTCAGTCTCCCACCTGCAGTGCAGTGCAAAAGTAGAGACGTCTTTAAGTGACTGACTCATTGAAGGGCTACCTCGGGTTCAATAACTCCCTGCCTTCCCTATCGCTGTGCAAAACAAAACAGACCTGTGCCCCACGTGGAAAAAAAAAAAAACCTGAAACATGAGCCGCTGTGAAGGCTTTGATCAAATTTCACTTTGAAGGATGAGGGGACAAACAAACCACCCTTCTTCCCCCCTCCACAAATTAATGAAATCCTCATCTCGTTGCAGAAATTAGAAAATCTATTTGCATCCAAATTGCGGGACGTTTAACGAGCTTTATCAAAGAATCAAAGTGGATATTCGTCTGGAGTGCTGATTGAAATGTGGAAAAATCAAGCGCGGGAGCACCAAAAAAAAAAAAAAAAAGTGCTCGACAACACAGCGGCCCGCGTTAAAACAAAAGAGCGGATGAACAAAAGGAGGTTCATGGAAAATCCTGTGAGACACGGGGGAGAGAAAGATGGCAGGGCGAGGAGACCGAGACGAGGGCCAATTATTTCCACTATGGAATCATTCATTAGATGAGCAAATCAAAACCTCCTCACTGTAATCACTCTGAATATGTATGCAAGTCTAACTCGGTTTACATCCTCGTCTGCTGCTAAACAAGGGGTTTAACACGGCTGTCTTCTGGGACGTTAGGATACAATCAAAGCCAGCAGCTGCTGCTTTATTGAATGTTTGCATGGAAGTATGTGCTTATTACACCTTTCATTCATCACTGTTGTTCACAAAACCATGAACGCTCTGTTTCTGAGACATCGTGCCGTTTGTTTATTGTTCGAGCGCAAAGTCAGGCTCTTGGATGTGTGATTAGACAATAGCTGATCTACAAAACCTGACTGGGTCCGTAGGCCATAACACCTGTGAACTGTCAAAGTGAGCTGTGTTCCCCTTTAAAATATCCTGTGAACTAGTGACAGGTCATCAAACATGCCCTCTTTAGAATAGAATTCATCACAGCTTTATCCCCAGGCCCTGTCTTTTAAAAATGCATACTGCACACAGGAGGTAGTCAGCCAATCATGTTCCTCCTCCAATTTTAGGAAATAATGCAACAGCATGCTCTCAGCTTGTCTGAATGTTGAGGGTGACCCCTGCTGGTGGGTAGTGGTCACTGTATGGACTTGCAGCGTAAACAGTAGGGCTGTAGGAGAAATACTCTTGAGTTTACCTGAAGCCTCTGGGATACAATCAGCTACTATTCCCAACATTGTCCTCATCAGCAAAGTTACATAAAGCCTTCTCTTCATTGCATCACACGCATATTATGACACTACATTATTTTCATTATCAATTCTAGTCTGTTATTCCATCTATACACCACTTAATCCTCACTAGGGTCATGGGAGGCTGGAGCCTATCCCAGCTGACTCAGGGCAAAGGCAGGGGACACTCTGGACAGGTCGTCAGCCTATCACAGGGCTACACTTAGAGACAGACAACCAAGCACACTCACATTCACACCTACAGACAATTCAGAATCACCAGTTAGCCTCAACATGTTTTTGGACTGTGGGAGGAGGCCGGAGAACCCGGAGAGAACCCACGCTGCACCGGGAGAACATGCAAACTCCACACAGAATGACGTATTTAATCATTTAAATTAAAAATGTTACAAACTGGTAAATAAATGCCCATCACCATTTTTCATCCCATGGTGACATTTTCAAGTTGTTCCAAGTCCAAAATCTAGAAACATTAACTTTACACTGAAAAGCACATGTTTGTGTTCAGTCACTACCATGCTAGTATAACGATGTGTAAAGATGGAAACCACCAAAGGCACCACAGGGATGATGATGTTACGACAGACACACACTGCAGCACCAACAAAGATGTTGCGTAAGCTCACACAGGGGGAACAGGTTTGAGCAGAAAAGATTGTAAAATGGGAGAAGTTTGGAACAAGAACATCAAAGCTTTGGGAAAAAAAACAGCTTGAAGAGTCAAAAAAAATGAAAAACACTTAAAGAATGCTAATTTACAGGTTCTGTGAAAAAAGGTTGGGTTTAACACATGAAACTAAACAAATGTCTTTACCATTACCCAGTGGTTTGAACACCACATACTTTTAACCACGTTTTTTATGAATAATATTGAGATCATGTCACAATGCCATCTTGATTGGGGTCAAACATGTATTAAATTAAGGTCAGTGTCTCATTGTGACCCACACTTACATGTAAATAGAAAGGTTGTCAGGTACACAGCAGCAGGCGAACAAAGGGATAAGATTTTCTATTAAAGAATGGCTTCCCCTGAGGGAGAACTGATGCTATTGCCAAGAGTCTGACCTCTGAATGCACACATAACCAGCTTGACATCTGTGGCCCTGCAGCGAAAACAAGCGGCACCCTGACGAAAGCTGAATTCATTTTCCTTTTATGGGTTACATTAACGCTTTTGACATGAATTTTCATAAACCTACTGTGGGTAGAAATGTAAATACAAAGCTTATGTAAATACAAGTAAAGGACCCAGCAAAGCCTTTTTTCCCCTGCATGGATTTTTGGCACCTCCCAAAGAGGTTTATATCCGGCACCAAAGAAAAATCGCCAGCAGCAAAATTAAAAAGAATTGAAAGTGTTTTTAATTACTTTTGCTAATTGGAGTTTCGTTCACTCATTTATTCAAGGATTGGACATTTTTGTTAACCAAAGGGTCGGAAATAACAGGAAAATGCATCGTTTTCTGCCATAATTTCACACACTTATAACCTCCATTGAGCCAGAAATAAACCCTGCAGTTATCTACTAGTTTTTATCAATTATTTTGTTCAAGTAAGTGGCATCTACCAGAAAGGGCATGCTGATAAGCGGTTTGCTTCATTCGAAACTATGAAGCAGACCGCTATTGATCATCATGTGGTATATGAGTTGTTTTAGCTATTTTGTTTTGAGATTGTTTTGCCAAATTCCCATCAACAAAAGCTTCTGTAATTTGGCTGACCCTCACTGACAAAAAAAATGATGTCTACCCACAAATACGGCCATAAAACAACCTGTTTTATATATCAGTTACATTCCTAAATGACGTAAATTGCCCAAAAATGGAACATTAACAAAAGATTGAGAACTGGATTCTACTGCAAATGCAAAATTGTGCTTTAGTGGTCTTCTATTGAACAATGCTTTCAGCTTTCAGCGTCTCTGAGCATTTGGAAAAATATAAATAAAATGTATCATTATTATTACTATTATTAATGCTGAACAAAAAGCTAACCCATGATTAAGTCAAATTGCTGACGCTGGCTGTAAAATACAACTTCCAACCATCCATCATCTATACACCGCTTAATCCTCACTAGGGTCGTGGGGAGCTGGAGTCTATCCCAGCTGACTCAGGGTGAAGGCAGGGGACACCCTGGACAGGTCACCAGTCTATCACAGGGCTACACTTAGAGACAGACAACCAAGCACACTCACATTCACACCTACAGACAATTTAGAATCACCAATTAACCTCAACATGTTTTTGGACTGTGGGAGGAAGCCGGAGAACCCAGAGAGAACCCACACTGCACGGGGAGAACATGCAAACTCCACGCAGAAAGATCACGGGTGTCCTCACCGGGACACGAACCGGCGAGGCAACTGCTGCGAGGCAACGGTGCTAACCACCGAGCCACCTTGCAGCCCTAAAATATGACTTTAGAGATAAGATTGCACATATGTATCAGTCATCTGAAGCTTATTATCTTCTGCAATCACCCAAGCAGAACAAACAGGTATCTAAGAAGAAAGTTGACTCTGAAACTGGTTTTAGTATATGTTTTGAGGCTGTTATGGACTATATTAACCTTTTGGAGCAACAATTACTTTCATTATTGAGTAATCTGTTGAATGATCCATTGTTTAGTTCATAAAATGTTAGAAAATAATTGAGAAGTCTTGCTGACATGATGAAATTGACTGTTTTGTCAGACATACAAAGATATTCCATTTAAAATATCATGACAAAAAAGACACAAGTCAGCTAGTTTATTTATTTTGTCCCTTCTCATGACTCAAACACTATCAAACCCTCAAATTTTGTGACTCGAGGGATCCGACACCATCATTTGTCAATCATCCCCCACATCAGTCCTCCCCCGCTACAATCAGCCAGATGTTGCTGTCAGCTCCTGAAGGATGATAAATGATGTGAATCACGGTTACAATGGTCGGAAACACACCAGCGGTTCCAATCAGCGAGTGTCAGTATCATAATAATCCACGCAGTCGAGCACCTTAGTCTCACGGAGCAGCACGTTAAGTCGCGCGGTCTTCTCTGCTGTGGCAGCGGCGATGGCAGACTGAGAGGATTATTCACCTTTAATTAAGAAGGACTACTGGTGTATGAAGCCCGGGCCTGTGCGGGGCCTATTTTTTTCCCGTAAGCCGAGAAGCCCGGCAGCAAAGTAAATGAAGTCAAAGCATAATATCATCAAACAATGATGCCCTGTGTTTTGGCTAAACACACAATAGGCAGGTGTTTGCAGTGCACACAGGAGAGCAGCAGTCCATGCAAAATCCCGGCCATGTTTTCTGTCCTAGTATATGAAAAGCTGCTTTATATCGCAGGTGTGTTAAGATTTTGTGTCACTCTTGGGTCCTTTGTTAACACGGGTGAATATTTAGGTCGCAAAACCGAAAAAGGTGTTCGATTACTGCATGTCCAGTTTGACTACATCACCTGATACCAATCCCAAAGCCAGGGGAGACATGCATCCCTATGAAAATAAACTAATCTGTCTCGAGATACTCCTGCCTGCTTTCATTGAGGCTCTAATTACACTCGGAGAAAAAAACGACTGCTTATCTTATCCGAGACTGATGTGTGTCACTGCCTGTTTACGAAGCTAACAGCAGCACTGTAATATCTGCAACATATTACACCAATGTGGTAAAATGATTAGATTGTTAAATAATCACACTGCTATCAATCACGAGCTCCAGCCGTATTCTGACAGAATAAACCTGTCGTGTCTGACTTTTTCTAAAGAGACAGCCTGTGTTTATCATTTGCTGCTCTGTCTTTTTTTTTTTTTTTCCATGAGGAGTTTTGAATTAAACAACACATTGAATGATATTACTGTCAGCTTGATCTTTCATAACGTTCTCTGGTGAATTGGCCAAAAAAAAAAAAAAAAGCACTTCCTGTTCAGTCTTATCTTTTGCAGTATTCTTCAAACCATACAGCAAATAGTTGCCTCACATCAGCAAAGCATGTATGAAAGGGAATTTTATATAGGAAGAACATGAAAAAGTGGAGTTTAAACTAGGGTGCCAATCAAAATAACATCAAACATAAAGACCCTAGAAGGAGAGAAATGAAGTGTCTGGTTCAGTGGACCTGGCAGCAATGAATAGAATTGGTCACCTTCCAAATTGTCCTCGGCCACATTAGTAGAAGGTCATGAATACGAGGCAAAGTCAAAGCAAAGCCAAGAAGTATCAGTGCATTGAGGTGGCAGTAAGTAAGTGACTATACGTTATATAAAGCCACTCTGACGTTTTGCTCTATCTGCTCTCGACAAATTCAATTTGTACAAGTGGATAATGACAAATGCTTCCTGTGACAAAGCATGACTGATCACATTTTCAAACGCCGCCATGCCAAAATGTTAAAACGCTCTTACAGCAGACTATATTTCACACTGTAAATGGTGTTAAGTCTGTGTAAGTGATATAAATGGGAGCCTTCAGTCACTTCACACTACAGAAAACACTATGAGTGTGATTTATCTAACGCTACTTACAAGGAGCAGATTGAAATGCAATACAATGTTTAGTGGACAAAGTACAGATGCATAAATCATCAAGAGACAGTTTTGAAATGTTCAACCTTGTTGTGTCACTACCACTGATGTCATTCCTTCTGAGTTTGGTGGAACTTTAAATAAATAATACAGCCAAAACTGTGACTTTAGCAACAAAAACAGTGCAAACGATGCTTCAGTAGCACATTCAGCAATGTACAGATTTTGTTGACCTTTACTGCAAAGTGAAAAGAACGCAAGATTGCATGAAATTTTCTGGCCACACAATTATGACATTGAACTAGTCAGACTTCTCTGCACAGTAAAACCAGATACACACAGAGCAGGTAGAGATCTACTAACTGATTGAACGCAGCATTATCTGTGGTGGAATCTAATCAAGCTTTCTTAGGCTGAAAGAGAGATTTTAGAGAATACATTTTAGAGAATATGCAGCCAACACCACACCAAACTGTACATCTACAGCCTGGTCTTGAGGGTTACCTTGCTGGGGATCCTCAGGTTCTCCACAGGGCTCAGGTCTGCCATGCTCTCCTGGGGGCTCTTCAGGCCCTGTCAGAGTAAGATCCAAATTAAACAACAAACTTCTAGTAACGTTTCATCTCGCTGTTCCCGTCAGCTTGCTATTCATCAGCACACTACCGCACAGAGCAAAAAAGTGGAAGCAGCGGGCATATTTGTGAAAGCGATATGCTCTGTTTTGTCCAGTCATGAACTACTGAGTCTAACATTACTGCCTGTGCAAACTGAGAACTTCCCTAACCGCCCAGTTCCCACTGTTGTACCCTGTAGTTGTTGTGGTGCTTGGCTAATGACACACTTTTTCACCCAGGGCGTGTGGGTAACTGCCTACACGCATGTATTTAATTTCTCATTTCGAAGGGAAGTAAACTGGTCGTAGCTGTGATTTTGCAGCTAAAAGCTGCTGTTTCTCCGGCTGAATGTGCCTTTTAATGAGCCACACGGTGAGCTGTCAAATTAGCCACTTAGCTTAGCTAGCTGTCATGCTAGCTAAACGGACAAACGGCCGGCAGCTCAGTTTTCACAGACGTGTTTAAACTCACCTGACGGGCCATGAGAGACTTAATCTTCTGCATCGTAAGTCCAACTTATGTCGGCAGGAAAATAAAATGGCTAAGAGTTTCAGTTTTGCCTTGTTGTCAACAGAGCGCCTCCATCACTACGAGAGGGTAGCCATAGTTGAGCGTCACGTGACTGGTACGGTGAGACCCGGGAAAGCATCATGGGAAATGTAGTTTTTTATCAGGTGACCGTACCTGGCGCAAACTCAGACTTTCAAAACTGAAAATGTCTGGATGGAATTTTAAGTATGTGTTTCTTGTTATTAAAAAAAAAAAAAAAAAAAAAAAAAAATATTTAAAAATGGTGGAAAGTATTAACAGTGGGATACTTGTACTGCTGCCATACACCACTGGATGGTAGTAATTTAACATGTCAGTGGAGAAACAGACTAGAGTAAAAGCAACCTGTGTCACAGTAAAAACAAACAAAAAGCCTAAATCCTAAAATTAATAGTGAATGAATATGGCATACTTTATGTCTCTATATTACATTATTCCAGCATTAGAAAGGCATCAGAACACAGAAGCCACTTCATTTTGTATACATTTATTTGTAGTAAATATAGAACTTAAACAAACAGATTACATTTGCATGTTAATGAATCTGCAGTGACAATCAGATAATATGCCATACTGTATGTAATAGTATTACATCATTCCAGTATTCGATAATCAATATAACACAGCTGACACTTTTCTGCATTACTTGTGGTAAAAGTTTATTTCTATGTATAGATCAGGCTTATATGTCAATGACTCAAATATACAAATATATGAATATAACATAGTGTGTGTAATATTGTTATGTTATTCCAGTATTGAATAATCAGTATGACACAGAGGCCTATTTCTGCCTATGTGTACTTGCAGTAAATATTTACTTATTCCTATAAATGAACCGTACATGTTCCCAAATCAATAAGATTAATCTAACAATGCTTCTCCTAAAATGACAAGTCAGAATGTCTGTCACCATTTCAAAGCTTAATTTCTATCCAATAATAGAACGCTGAGCAGATAAACTTCAGTTCTGAGCTATAGTATAAACATGAATTACCTGATCGTCTTATGAAATCGGATTCAAGGTTATATATAAAACCTACATGATAATGAATCATTATAATAATCCAAAATTATAACAGACTCTATGTAATAATAATAACAATAATTACATTATTTCAGTAATTGACAGAAGCCACATTTTTGCACAAGTTCACTTGTAGAAAATACAAAACTTACCAACACTTATAGATGAGGCTTACATGTTGGTGAATCAGTGATAATAATTGAATAATCCATCCATCCATTATCTATACACCGCCACTAGGGTCGCAGGGGGGCTGGAGCCTATCCCTAATTGAATAATATAACATACTTTTGTGTATTAATAGTACATTATTCTAATATTAGACAATCAATAATAGAGAATAAAGCCACTTTTCTGCATATGTTTACTTGTAGTAAAGATTTAATTGTACTTCAGGCACAGTTTGATGATAATTCTGCTGCACTTTTGATTTTGAATGTAGCATCTTTATATTATGGAACAGCCACCCGTACTAAGCAATGGATTGTGCGTGTGTCTGTAGTATATATTTTGTTGTTTACTTATTGTAATTCAGTACATGTCATTTGGTCCTAAACAGGTTCCCACCATATATGTTCATTTTTATTGTTTTTATGCTTCTGCACTTTTTAAGAAACCACATTTGCTTTCATGAGCCAGTCCGATCATATTGTCATGCAATGTCATCCATGACCCAGTGTCATGTAACTCAATCTCTGCCAAGCAAGCAATTAGACCTGGCTCTGCATTCTAAACTGTTCCAAATAATTACAAAAACAGTGCACGCAGACCCATTAAGCCTGCTTTGTAATTGCCCCCTTAGGTGTTATGTCGAGCAGCACTTGGTTAAAAGCAGGCAGCATGCAGCAGACAGCAGGCGCTGTGAGCTCTAGTTCCTGGTTAATGATGCCTCAGGCTATTTCCCAGTCAAATGAAGGTGAGGTCGCTCTCCTTAGGTGAATTTACTCCGCTGTTGTTTGTCAGGCAGTCATCCACAGTGTGGAGCCTCCCTTAAAGCATACACTGAGACGGAACAGATGGCAACCCCTACCCGGAGATGCCACCACAAAGACACGGCACACTCAGTTGGTCAGTTCATGCGCTAAAATTAGAGCTGGATTTAATAAACTACTTGTTGTTATGCAAGGGAGCACCGTGATAAGCTACACTTTATAATTCAATATGAGAAGAAAATTCATTCCCCTTCACCTGTGAATGAATATAACAGTGTGATTATCTGTCTTGTTGCCATGTGATGACGATGTTGTAAAACACATATTGATCTGCCTATAATGTCATTTATTTAAGAAAAAAAACTAAAAAAAACTCACATAAGTGCCAAATTATTTAAAATGCTTCAATTAAATCAAATCCACTATCCTGATTGATTCTGAACATATTTTGTGCTATAGCATGTGGCATGACATTGAATGGAGGCACTCAGCGTGAGATGCAGCAGTGGACAGATAACAAGCTCCATCATAGCAGAAACACATTATTCCTCTCTAAGTGAGTGAGTCACTTTCCAAGGTTGGCAAAAATAACACAAAACTAACAGCGGGAGTCTCTAATGACTTTTTTTTTTTTTTTTTTTAAATTGCATATAGATTTTAGTCTCTATTTTCCACACAAAGCATGTTTCTTGCCTACTCTCTCCATGCTTATATCTCTTTTCTGCCTCCACACACACACATAAGCAAGCAAGCGCGCACACACACATTTTTATCTACTCGTGACAAGGTGTCAGCAGGAGCAGGTGGAGGGCACTCTGCCACATGCTGAACCATCCGTCTGTCGCTGCCTGTCTCTGGATCACGCCAGGTACACAGCATACCAATACAGCCAGGCTGCGAGAAACAGGCACTCTGCAGCAATTTGGGGACAATAAATACAACTCGTACTCTTGCGAGAAAAGAGATCACAGCCAAGACATCAGACAAAGACTGACTGTGAAGCAACAGAACAACTGACAGCTTTGCTGGCTTCAGCTATTTTTTATTTTTTTTATCGGTATGTGTGAAAGAGGACGAAGTGTTCATTTCAAGCCTACCATTGCCATTCTATGAAAAAGGAATCTATAAAGAAAAAAAAGCAAATATGATTGAGAATTAAGCACGTTAACGATGTCTGGTTGGGAGCTACAAATGCATATTTAAAATGACTCAGAATAGTAAACAGTTATATCTTTATTAAAGTACAAAACAAACATGTGAATGCAAACTGTACAATAATTTTGGAATTATTAATCATTTTTGTTGTTTGAACTTGTCGATACATCCATCAGAGAACAGAGAAGAATGCTACATTTGGGGAAACAGGGTTAAGAGTTTGGATAAGAATAAATAGATTAGAGAAAAACATAGAAATAGAATAATATGTATAAAGAATCTGCAGGATAATCCATGTACAATATTTACAATTAACCTGAATATATTTCATACAAGGAAATGCATTCATTTTAACACTTCTCACAAAACATACTCTCTTAGCAGGGAATGTTAAATTAGATATGTTAAATTAATATTTTAAATTAAATCTGTGTTTTAAATAATAATCAAAGTGTTAGAATTGAAGGACTTTAAAGGTGTAAAAGATCCAAAACTGCCTACAGCTAACTCGTTTGGTTTAATGTGATCTTCATTTTGAAATGGAACAAAGCAAAATTGTTTCAACTTCACTTATACTTTCACATAAAAAGATCGAGCCATACATACGTTTTCAACTCACAATGACGTCAGTAAAATACATTTAACATCTGTCCCAAGCTCTCGACAATAACAGTGCACTATCAGGTTGTGTACTCACACCAGTCTCCCTCCTCCCTGTGCAAAAAGACAAAAACTGGGCCATCAAAACCAACGCTTGAGGCTTTGAAAACAGAGACTTAAGAGAACGGAGCTACACAGAAGTCTTCAAGTGAAACAACTCTCAGCTCAGTTACTGCAGCAGACTGTGACTGGGAGTTTCAGGAACGTGTCTGATCACATCGTAGATGGTGGTGTGTATGTCCTGGATGGACTCGAGGCGAGCCAGAGATCTGCAGGACGCCTGAGGGACAGGAAAATTAGAACTGTGAAAACGCAAAAGATCTTAGAAGAAACAAGAGTTTGCTGCACCGTCTGTGAATCTCTGTCACGTTACATACCTGTGCAGATTCCATTTTCCCGGGTATGGAGACGAACTCGTAGATGCCGAAGTCTTCTGTTGCATCTTCGTGACCTGCTGATACACATGATCTGATGTCAGTCCAACACTTAGATTACAGGAAAGAGCGTCAGACTCTCTGTCAGACTTCACAGTAACGTGATGCCATAAAACCAAGAGCTGCTTTTCAGCTGAAACCAATTATCCTGACTTTGTTTGCGTTTCTGCTTTCCTCCTATCTCAAACCTGTTTTACTGAGTGATTTAACTCTGGATCCAGTACTTCCTGCGATAAAGTCTTCGAAAATATGATGCATATATAGACTCAATAAATAAATAATAGGCAAACAATTTACATCAGCGTTTTTCAGTTTTGTAAACCTCTTAAAATTATGCTCAATCAGTGAACTGTATATATATGTTTTAAACGAATAATTGCCTCATGATTTGTGGTATAAATGTGCATTTCAAATTTTTTTTAAGGACTAGAAATCCTAAAATAAAGGTGGAGACAAGTGTAGATATAAAGCCAATTCAAATCATTTACTTTAATGTGAATTTGATTTCAAATAAATCAAAGCAGAAATGTCAGTTTAAAATTACACGCAATGTAAAGTTGATGTCATTTCCAACATCTCTATGTCAACCCAACTGATCAAAACAATGTTTGAAACTTAAAGGCTTCATCTAAACCAATAAATATGATTTTTTTTATTTTTTATTTTTTAATCTTGCAGCCATGCATTTAATATGAGAGCATGTTCTATTATGTCCTCAATGACTGAATAATTGCGTCGTTTATTGGTCTAAGCAGGTAAAACCATCTGTGAACAAATAGTAGTTTACCTGAACGATGTGGTCGTTTCTGCTCCGAAAACGGTCTGTTAAAGAAAAAAGGAAAAAAAAACCCTGTTAATTCAAGTTTAAATGTAGATTAAAGGCTGGATGACGAAGTCTGCATTTATTTCATATTCATGGATCTTACTTGTTGTAAATGCTCAGGAGGACTGTTGATGACAGAGAAACAGAGAAAGAAAGAATTAGGTCAAAATTTGAAATACTTCCTACTAAGTACAGAAGTTACTTTTTCCCGGTTACCTTCAGTTTGATTAACATTTGCAAGTTATTTACATCTCTGATCATCTTCAACATGTGACAGCTCGGTGCAGCGAGTGATTATCACACACCAGGAAAACAAAAAGATTCACATCTCAGCTATTCAGAGTCTCAGATTCAAAACTATGGACAAGAACGCAGCGCTTACTGTCAAGACTAAACTCACTGGGATTATTAACAAGGGCTGTCGCTAGAAAGCCACTTTTGTCAGAGCAGCAGAACAAGACAGAATCTAACCTCTCTTAGGGTGGCAGGTCCTCCTGAGGAAGAAGAGCAGCATACAGCCGATGACAAACAAAGAGCAGACGGTGATGGCTGCCAGCGGAGACACAGAGCTGCCTTCCTGGGTGTGCTTCTCTTTGCCTGTTAATAAACAGCAGAGATGTGAACGATATGATATGAACACGACGGTTTAGGAAAGCTAACAACAAGCTTCTAGGGATGGCAGTCAGTTGATGCACAACTTTGCAGTAAAGTGCAGTATATTGCAGCCACTGTTGGTTGGATTTATATAAAATTTTGTACAGGTGTTTCTGATCTTCTGAGGATGAATCCCATAGAGTTTGGTGACTTTCTGGATTTTCCTTTTGCCCCAAAATATCCTGACAGATGCATCAATCCTATCAACCCCTTATAAGTGCTAGGCTTTTTTTTCTTCTTCTTCTTTTTAATTCTGGATGACAAAATATCTCTAAATTCAGTCGGCAACAGCTGCAAAACTGCAAGGCCATGGATACGAGACCCTTGGCAGAATTTTGACACACAATTAGTCTCTTTATCCTTATCGCTGGGGTTGAGCGAGGTTTGAAAAAAAATGTACTTCCAACCTCATCAAAAGTGTAAATAAATACAACATAAATATACCAATGTGTCCGTAAACGCTGAAAATCCTCAACTGAAACAAATGAGTCTAAATTTGATATGCATAGCAACCATTCAAAAATAGCACCAGTTGCATTTTTTTTATATAGGGGGGAGAGGTTAAAACTGTAGAAGATTCAGTGTTAAAGGTTCACAAGAGATTTTGATGTCAGTTAAAATAAATCAATTTTAAAAAAGGAACACTGTCACGACTCCTGTTGACTCATTAAACAGCGTTTTAAATCATAGCCACTATCAGCAGTAATCATCAATGTGCCTCTCTCGGTATCGCCAAGACAACATATCAACGTCGCGTTCAGCAACACTGAAACTCCACATGCTATAAAACTTAGTCAACAAACACAACAGCTGTTATCCACTGTTTACTTTCCCAGCCGCTGAACTTTAATACAGGCTGCAGGCACAGGAACCTAGCAACAGAGATAAAAAACCCTCAGTTTCATAATAGCCATGTATATTTTCATGTCATATCCAGAACCTGCTTTCACTTCTCGCTCCAGCTCCAGTATTTTATCTACCCAACTGTTCCCAAAGCCGCTCACTGTTTATCATTGGCAAGGTTTATCTCTCAAAGCTCACCAAACTCTTCTGCTTTTTTGGCATGACGCACCGTTTACAGAGTGTTTATCTTCGAGGATTCCCAAAACCTGCCCACGCTCTGCTCCCTCATGCCACGTTCCACCCTCTACCCACCTGTTCCGAAGCTGGCCACCACCAGAGTGAACTGGGCCTCTTTCTGCTTCTGCGTCACATTGTTGAAGGCACGGCACAGGTAGTCTTCGGTCTGGGCCAGCGTGTAGGAGCGCACCTCCAGCCGCGGGCCCTCCGTGATGACCTGGGTCGCGTTTCGGATCCAGACGTAGCTGTTGGGTGGGTTGGAGTCAGCTTGGCACTCGAAGAAGACCAGTTCTCCGGGGTTGATGGTGAACACAGGCCCTGTCCGCAGGCCCTGGACGGAGTTCACCTCCAGGTTGTAGGGGCCATCTGCATGTTCCAGTAGAGCGCCAGGGAAACACAACGGTTAGCTGCTGAGATGTGGTTTTGTCAATACTGTTTTTATCAACCGTCTCGTTGTAACGCGTGACGGGGCAGCGAGCGGCAAACATGGCAAACAAGGTGAGCTTAAGGTCAGGTGAGGTGTGATACGCAGAAAGATAAATACAGGTAAGACGAGGCGGTAAGTGGTATCAGTGACGTCTGTGTGTGTAACTCTGAGGTTGGACTGGGACATCGTTGAATGTGTGCTGGCATACGGCACGTAATAATAACTGAACATAAACAGTTTGATTATCCAGCACAGTGAAATGAAGCGAACTGTTCCAAATACTATGTGGGTGAATTTCACTGCTGCATATGTATGAATTTGTGTAAGATCTTTTCCTGCATAGCGAAACAATTATTACATAATAAACTCTGTGCTGTCCAGTGCTAGAACCTGCATCAGTGCAGCCTTTATAAAGAGAACAAGCCTACTTACAAGATGTCAGACTGATTCATTTAGTCTTCTTGCGGCCAGAAACACCATACTTAAATGTTTAAACCTTCTGAACATCAAAACCCACGGATGAGTTTGAAAGGACTGCTGTTGTTTTTTAAAAAATCACCTATGCTACACCATTTATCCAAGCCAGAAGACACAAAGACTTACAGATAGTTCTCAACTTACTCATTAGTGGAATGTCGGGAAACATATCCAATTTTTTCCCAGTATTGATAACACCTGTAGACACTTTATGGCTTTATAGCTTCAGTATATTGCACAGAAGACATTTATGATTTAACCTTTAGTCATTGTTGTGCCTGATTGTAGACGTGCAAGATTTAATATTGCAGTAAAAAAAAATTAGCCTAAAAAAGTGACCTCTGCTATCAGGGTTTAGAAAGTTGGATAAAACTCACGCTAAATTACAAGAAATCATATCATAGGATTATATTACGACTACAGATGTTTCCCCTTTTCATTATGACAATGGTAGCATCCCCTGACGGCATCTCTAAACCAGGTAGTAGATAAATTCTCTGTTTCATGTCTGTTAAAGGTGTCATATAGCATTCCCTTTTCAACAAGTTAATGAAAGTCTCTCATGTCCCCAGAATTTGTATTTCAATTTTCAGCTCAAATTACTGCACAGATGGTTCACTCTACCATGCCTACGATACTCCTGATTTTAGCCCTGTTCCAAACACGCTGTTTGAGTGACTGTAGCCTTAAATCCAACTGAGTTGCCGCAGGCGAACCTCGCTCTGCATTTATTCTGTTTAGTGAGTAGCGAAGAAAAGGCCAGAGGCAACCCAGTCTCACCAAAATGACATATATGTACGGTTAAAGTTCATTCTCAGTTACATTTTGTGGGAAACATATTTTCTGCCTGATTGTTTGCCACGTATCATAAATGTGTTTTAAATCAACACATCTTTGATATTTATTTTACTACTTTATTGGCGCTCCATTTCAGTCATAAATTAGATTGGACTCGACTCGTCACCCTGGTAACCCAGAAAATGGTGGCAGAGCTTTGAATATGTTGTGAAAAGAATCATACCGTAACCCAGGCTGTGGTATTTTCCTAAACCTAACCAAGTGGCTTTGATGCCTAAACTGAACCAAGCCTTTGATATGTAGTTAACGATGGGATATTTTCCTAAACCTAACCAAACAGTGAGTGAAAACAAAACATAAATCTAAGAATAATGGTTTATCAAGCAACCCAAAAACAATCTCCTGGGTGAAACTCTTGTCGCTCTTTCAAACTGGAAGCATTTCCTACGACCTCACAGGTGAGAAAATGTGTTTGAAAATTAATAATGAATAGGAACATCATTTTTGGCCACAACTGTTGCCAGAGCAGAAGGAGCCGGGGGCGGGGCTTATCCTGTTGTGACATCACAACAGGGTGCAATCCTGAACAGCTCATTCAGAAACACACTTTCTAATCTATGAAGAAGCAGAGAAACAGGGGGATGGACTATTCTCTTATTTTCTGCTTCTCTAGATACACTGGGGACACATGAATATGTTTGAAAACAGTGAACATTTGGATCAGATAAGCCTTTTAGTTTAGAATTAATATCATAATATCACTAGTAAACCAAACACTGCAGCTCTGAAACATGTTGCAAATAAAGTAAATTAGTCTATGAATGCTGTTGTTGGAATGTAGTCAATCAGTAATAATAAGTATGAAATGCATGTCAGACTGGAAACAGACATGAAGAACAAGACTCTGGCTAGAACACAAACGCAACACTGCAAAACTGAAAGTGACATTTTAACTGATAGTACGTCCTGCAGGTTGAAACACAAACATGTTCTGCCTATGCAAACATCAGCGATGACAATTTGAAGTTACTAACGCCAGTGTTTAAACACACTGACTAGGAAAAGAGAAGGATAAACGTCCCTTCAGTACAGAATCATCCGTTGTGTGAAATTCAAAGTAATTCACAGGAAGATTACACAGTAGACGGGTTTTTCCGTTTAACCTCAAACTCGCAAAATCGGTAAAGTTTATCGGTGCATCTACACCCTTTACGAGAGGACAGTGGAGCTCTGTGAGATAAGTCCGCTCCCATGCAAATAACACCCAAAGGCTGCCATGTGTTTCCAGCTTTAAGCAAGTCGGCTGATCTCAAAGAAATTTACATACTGCAGGACTGTTTACTTCCAGGACACTTGTGCAAGAGAGAAAACACAAAAGTCGACGTGTTTCATGCTTGGTTATTGACACGGGTTCTTTGTGATACATTAGAACAGACTTCCAAATGTTCTTTTAAGGAAAACTCGATCAAATAAGTAGAGCTTCACATCACGGACTGAACTAACCCAACTTTGTAGTAATAAAACTGCATGATCCAGCCATGTGAGGGATTTTAGCTAACAGGTAGGTAATCCTAAATGTGATCTCATCAGACTCTGATTGTCATCGACATCTGACTATCACCTGGGCGTCGTGTGCAGCTTCCTGGGGCTGATATGACTTTCAATTAAAAAAATGTGAGAAACGTCAGCAGCATTTTGTTTTATCAGATGATCTGAGTCAGCATCCAGCTCTGATAACAGCATGCTTGCAGAGACTTGCATTTTCAAGTGGTTTTGGAGAAGAGAGAGAACTAGAAAGAGAGACAGATACTCACAGTAGACGTTGAGTTCCACGGCCCTGCTGTGGCAGCCCTGACTGACTGGGTTGCTGGCCAGACAGTGATAAGTTCCCTTGTCCTCTTTCCTTACGGGGCTGATAAACAGTGTCGAGTTGTCTTGGGAGAAGCGGTATCTGTCACTGGGAGTCAGCGTGACATTATCCCTGAGCCACTGGAACACAACTCTTGTTCCTCGCTCAACCGAACAAGTCCAAGTGACGTTCGCCTTGTCTTCCACGACTGCGTTGGATGGGCTCTTGTCAAGCACCGGAGTGGACACTGGGACTGGAGGAAGAAAACCAAAAAGCACTTGTAAATAAAAATGTCACCACATCAGCAAACATCACATATGATGAACATGTAACTCACCGTCTACTGTCACATGAACAGTCTTCTCCTCGATAACCAGTCCAGTTTTGTTATGAAACTTTATGTTGAGGCTCAGGTGATAGTCCCCTTCGTCGTCCGGGTTTAGTTTCTGGATTAGCAGAGAAACATTGGGTGCTTTGAAGTGGAGGTGGTTGCGGAACATCATGTTGGTGATGTAGGCTTCTTTGGTAAACGTGACCAGCGTGGTCCTGGTGCCGCTTGGCCTGGTATGGGACCAAGTTCCCTGGATTTCGGCTTCGTCCAGCGAAGAGTGAGTCTCCACAGGCAGCAGCAGGGGTTTCCCCTCGATGCCGTGATGGACCAGCACAGGGATGTGAATGAAATCAGAGCTGACCTCTGGAGACAAAAGGAGAAGGAAACAAGACATCAGCATTCATACAGAACACATTGTTCCTGATGTAAAGCTTGTTTCAGAAAGTGTGTATTGTCCCTTAGTGGTTCAGAATCATGGGATTATTTCTAGAGAAAACACTCAGGGTGCTTTGGGACTGTACAACATCTGTTCAAGTGAGTAATCTCAGTATTCATTTCTCCCTGGAATTTAATAGAATCTGAAGTTCAGGATGGGCTGCAGGGTGGCTCGGTGGTTAGCACCGTTACCGGTGAGGACACCTGGATCTTTCTGCATGGAGTTTGCATGTTCTCCCTGTGCAGCATGGGTTCTCTCCGGGTTCTCTGGCTTCCTCCCACAGTCTGAAAACATGTTGAGATTAATTGGTGATTCTAAATTGTCTGTAGGTGTGAATGTGAGTGTGCTTGGTTGTCTGTCTCTAAGTGTAGCCCTTTGATGGACTGGTGACCTGTCCAGGGTGTCCCTTGCCTTCGCCCTAAGTCGGCCGGGATAAACTCCAGCCCCCAGCGACCCTAGTGAGGCTTAAGCGGTGTATAGATAATGGTTGGATGGATGGATGGATGGTTGGATGGATTGATGCCTATACCAAGATTTACCCAATATTGCTGAATTTCATCTTTTAATTTCACCATTTTTCCGTGACAAAGTACATGTGTGTTAAGTCTTTCACAACCAGATCCCACTTTTTCACTTTTTGTCATCAGAAACAACAGATGCAACATTTACAAAGCATTTGACTTTGCCTTTATGTGTCATTATATTTTTCAGCAGCACGGTTTGTTCTTCTATTTCACAGTTGGCACCAGGAAAGCTTGTTTATAATCTTCAAATCGAGGTTTGTGAATCTATGATGTTGTGCCACCACGCTTCGATGGTGACGGCAAGAACAGCGTGCACACCGGTACCTTTAGGAAAACGAATTAGCCATGACTCATGCATGAATCATACATCAGTAAGAACCTCATTTTATGCACGATCCATGATGAAAAAGATACAGAAAAATAGAAATGCGTGGAAAAAATAGCATACTGTCAGTATTTTAGAGAACCCCCCCTCCAAGTTCCATCTGGCTCTCCTGTAGTTTACACTCAGGCAAAATCTATACTGAAGAATGTGAAGAAGATGAGTCAGCAGTTCGTGCAGGTAAGAAGGTCGTCGTGCAGTTTCAGAAAACACAGAAGTATTTTTTTGAATAAAAGAAAGAAAGAACAAAAGCTCCACCCTCTTGTAGTTCATGACACAAATGACTAGATGGTGCTGACAAACTAATATCTGACATTTAAAAGTGCAATAAATGTCTTTTCTGGACACTTGGAGGCCGAACAGAAAGCTGCACACACAACACTGACTTCAAATCCACCAGATTTGGAGCAACAGTTGTCTGTTTTTGATCTCTGAGGGAAATATCTAGACTGTAGCTGTTAAATACTAACTCTGTCTGGTGCTGGGAGGCAAAATACAGTCGTTTTTTTAACATAAGCATCTGCTGTCTGCATCTGGACATTACACTGTTGTGACTGAGCCAAAACAAGACTAGTGTATCTGCAGAGTCAGTGATAACACTCTTTTTGTTTTCCACTACAGGAGATCACTTTAAGCATGCTTTTTCTTCTGTTGTTAGCAATATGTGATGCACTGATATACCAAGCATGCACTACATTCTGATGTATTAGTCTAATCTGAGCGGAGACAAGGAAATGACTTTTGTACCACCACAACAGGATGGCAACATTGAATATCTGTTCAGTTTATATTGAAAATGATGGCATTGATATTGATATTAATCAATTATTATCATTTCTCAACTTGAATTGTTGCAATAATATTGTGTTGTGTTATCGGTTTGCAGAATTTTGTACCTCAAATGTAGAAAATTGAGCAATTTTTAACTAAAACTTATGATAAAACTGATTTTGGCATATTTGTGCTAGATGATAAACTACATTATTTTGGTTTTACATAGAAAAAAAAAACATGTTTCATCATATTACGAAACTATATTTTATATTACGAAAGTGGCAATATGATAATGAAACACAAACGTTATATTTAAAATAAGAGGCCGGTTCTGCTTTGACTGACTAATCGTATAATCAGTATCCTTGTCTTCAGATTTGTCTAGGTCCTTTAACGGTAGTGAGTTAATATTGACCCAGCTCACCACAGAGTGCCATTGTTGTCAGACAAGGATGAAGCCTTTCTCTTTGATCATGACTGCAGTAACTACAACTTGCTGTCTGTTTGAGCTGGTGGCCGGTTGCCGGGGCAGTTTGTTCGCTGGTTACAGCCACAAAACAGACAACTTGGAGGAAAGAAAACACAAAGAACAGGAAGAGTTATCAGTGTTGGGTCACTAATTAATTGCCAGATCTTTCTCAATCTCTCTGAAGTGCGTTTTTCTCCTGAGCTACGACCTCCTGCGCGCTCATCGACAGTTTAAAGTTGAAAAGTTAAGAGAAACGGTGAAGTTTGTTCGGATGCCAGGTTGAGTTAAGCAGCAGCATGTGAGTAGGCAGCGCTACTGTGAAACAAACTCACAAAACCTCACACTTTTTGTCCATAGTAATCTCTTTCAGCTTCCCCTTTTCTCCTGCTTGGGTCGCTTTGTATCACTTCTGCCTGCAGTATGTCCTCTTTCTCCGCTTCAGCGCTAAATGACGTGACGGTTGTCATTTCACTTCTTTTTTTTTACTAGTAATTTTAATGGTTTTAACTTTGGATCTACAAAAACGAGCAAAGCAATCAAATTTATTGAAGTGTATTGCAACTTGTACGATAAAATTTGATTTGAAAACTCAGGTTTCTCCTTCTAAAGCCTCACATCTCTCAGCCTTTTCTCTCTTGGTCACCCTCTCCCGTGCCCTGCCCTCGGGCCGGTCCATATTTCCTCCTTCCTGACATCCAGCTGGTGTCAGCCAGGTCTCTGTTGACTGCTGCCCACATCGCTCATCACAATAGATCAATTGTGCGCCTGGTGTTATGTCCTAAATAATACATGTGGCGCAGACACTCCTGCCACACTCTTCCAAGCCCGCAGGCCAGTTTCTATGTGTGTTGTCATTAACTGGAGTGTGCCTGTGTTTACACCAGCTGAGATCCGGTGAAAAGGCAGAACGAGGAGGAGTGTGGCCAGCCCGCTCCTTCACTGTTGTCCCCAAACAGCGTGGATATTGTTGTGGTGATACAGAGGAGATTACAGCCACAATGGGCTTCGAGGTGAGTGGATATCTTCGTCTAGTGGCCACACACACACACACACATGCAAACAGCTTACATGTGGAGACCCACCTGCCTCTTATCACCCTCACACATATCCAAGGTGTTTGGATACTAAATAAAGTCACAGGGCGCGTGTCCTGAGCGCCACCATCTTCTGTCCCGTTTCAGATAAGACAAATAGCGCTGCTTAAAGGAAGGTTGATGATACAAACATCAAAGCAGCGGAGAGTCCATGTTTTTTTTTTTGAGGGAACTTTTCTGTTAGGTGGATGTTGTCATGTGAGAAGTACGTGTCTCTTATCTCTGAGTCACAGAGATGTGGCCTGGGTCACTTCTTCTTTCCACCCAGCCTGTGTTTACATGTTTATTTGTGGCCAACAATAGAAGAAAAATCTACTTCTGTAAAGTCACGCAGCGATGACTATAGAAAGGACATGCCAAAGAAAACTAAGGCAGACAGTTCAAGACTGAGGGGATGAGACCCTATTCAGGACTTTTGGGGTCTTTTGGACCCCAGACCATTTGGTTTAAGTGACAGGTATTGTTTTTTTTAGTTTTGAAGATTTTTTTTTTTAATATAAAAAGAGGAATATTTGTCATGCATTTGGATCCAAAAATACGTCAACTTATCAGAAAATGTATTTACCATAGTATAAAAGTCTATAATGAACACCAACAAATATTTTGCACGTATTCTTTCTTGGGGTCCAATGGACCCCGAAAGACCTTCTACGTATGGCAACATGAAAGTCCTCAATAGGGTTAAAGATCTCACGACCAGCTATTATCAAGATGCCAAGCTTTACTTTTTTTTTTAAATCCATCATGATTGCCCTTAAATTGACTTCTTGTGCCAACAAACGTCTATTTTCCTTTTTAATTTCTCAACCCAGTTGCTTTACTGCTTCCCTGACTCAAACCCCCTCAAACACAAAGGATTTCACAAGTTGAACATTTTGCTTCTGTGCACCACCACAAAAGAAAAAAAAAAACAAAAGAAAAACTTCCCTAAACTCACAGCTCAGTTCTGCCTGTACACCAACCCAGCAAACACAGCAACCACAGCAACTGCAACCACCAACACAAACACTGGCGACCCGCTCACCTGTTAGGATGAGCAGAACGGAGCAGACGTACAGCGCTGGTCTTCCTGTGGCCTCCATGGCATCTTCTTATCCTCTGGGGGGGGATATGTGGGACTTGTGACGGGCGAGCAGGGAGTGAGGGATGTAGGAAGGAGGAGAGGAGTGGAAGAGAACGGAGGAGGAGGGGGAGGAGGAGGAGAGAAATGTGACTGGTTGTGGTGACAACATTTGCCAGGGAAATAAGAGGAGCTTGCTTTCCTACATGCAGCTACAGGCTCCTCCCATGTGACACCGGGAGTAAGAAGAGGTCCACCTGGCAGGGGGGACGACACAGTGTTGGTCCTCAGCGCAGACACAGAGCTGCCCCGAGGCCGAGGGTTTCAGAGAAACTGAGATGTTAAACTGTAAAAGGATAGTTGAGAGCAGAGCGGATTCTTCACATTATAATGCACCAGCTGTCTGCTGCTTCAGTCAGCCCCCTCAGGGTTTGAAACAAAGCTTTTAACCGCTCGTTTTTGTTAAGTTACGCAGCTTTCAGAGGACACAGCGGTCAGCAATCAGTTATTCTGTCTGGAGTGATTTTGTAACTCCAGGAAGATACCGGGAGGTGAAACGCCTTTAGGATGAAGACTCTTCTTGATATCAGAGAGATGTATGTTATCGGTTTGCAACCCCCAGGGAGACACTGTGGAGGGAAAAAAAAAAGATTCCTCAACAGAAGTTGTTTGTCAAAGTTTGTGCCTTAAGCAATGTGTGTGTTTTACTCTCAGGGAATAAGGTTTTTTAAATGAGTTTTCCTATGAGGAGATTGGTGTGGAATTAGTTTGTTTCTGCTGTAGACGCCTCACTGCAAACGTTGGTGAAATGATAGCTCCAGGGAAGCATCTCTTTTGACTATTTAAAAAAAAGAAAAGAAATTAAACTACACCCAGTCAAACTTATTTGACAATACATTAGAGAAGATCTCTCGAAAACAACAGATTAAAAACAGTCACAAGCCAAACACTAAAATGCCCCCTCGGTGATTTGTGCAGAGGAGATTTTTTTTTTTTTTCCTACATGCCCATCTTCTGAAAGGATGTGGTTAACTTGGGACTGAACAGCGCAGCGAATGAATTAGGCCATTGTAAGCTGCGTAAATCAGTGCCTCGTTTGGCGATGGTACCATTAAGGAAGCTGATTATTTTCTTCTGCTGTCAGGAACTCTGTCGAGGGATGTTTGTTTACTGGGAAAACCAAGGACAATGATTAGATAATAACACCAAATTTGACATGGAATCATTTCTTAGACCTCTGGAAAACTGTTTTTGGTCCACATTTTACAGATTTTACTTAGATTTTAAAAAAAAATAAATAAATAATGCAGCCTAAATGACCTCAGTTAAATGATCTTAATTAAATTTTATTTATTTGTTGATGTATTTTTTGATGCTTGAAGTTGCATTTCTGATTTCTCCTCCCCGCCTCTGTTTTCCACAGAAGCTGTAAGGTTCCTTTTCGCCTTTAGATGGAGTCAGTGCATCATCTACTGGATAAGGTCGGTCAACAGCTGCGAAAATGAACAACGCTGCACTTTAAAATGGGCTTCAGATCAAATTCATGCCTTTTTATATTTTAGTTATATTTTACCTTTAACTATTTGCAGTGGCTCTCTAGCTTTGCATGATTCCGTGGAAATGCTTCCCAATCTTATTCGACTGAAACAATGTTTACCCACGACCGTACAACACAAGCTGCGTTTCAAACTTGTTCCCTTTTTTAAAAAATAAAACAAAATAATTCTTAAAGGCCTGAGGAGGTCTACCTACACGTTCTTCCACAATAAGAGACAGTAAAAAAAAAAAAAAGTGGGGAAACAAACAAACAAACAAACAAGAACATGAGTACCAGACAAGTTTTTATTTATTTTTTCAGTCTTTTTTTCCCCATCATATTACAATTTATCTCAGTAGCCCATGTCATCCCAGGTTGGAAATTACTTCACATTAGTCTTTATCTCTGTCACATATGGTCATACTAAGGATAAAAGGCTGTCTACTCTAAAATCGACATATCTCTGAATGACGTGTTCTTTAATCGAAGGGTTCCTTTGCCATATATTCATTTTTTCCTGAAGCTAATTAACTCATTTTTTTAAAAGCAGTCAAATTGTCCAAAACTACAGTGTTGGAAAGTTGAAAACTGTTGTTGAGAGCAGTTTTAATTTATGAACATTTTCTAGCTACACAGACAGCAACAATAGAACACATCACTATTATCTGATTCCTCTTCCTGATGATAGTTTGGGTCGTTTTATTGTATATTAACCCTGCAAGAGATGTCCCTCCATTTAAGACTGCATGTTCGGTGATTTGTATTTTTCATTAAACACAGAAGAACATACTGTCATAAGACAAGGGGATGTTGAGAAACAAGCAGAGCTTACCTAATGACTGGCTCAGGATGTTTGGGTTGACACCCTGACCTTTTGACTTGACACACTCCTGCCTGGTGAGTGATGAGTTAGAAAAGTAGACCCACCCTTGATCTAAGAGCTGCAGGGTTACAAGGGTCAAGATAATGACATACCAGTCAAAATCGAACACAAAGATGTCCTGGACGGCTGCAGTGAGGACATCCACTCACGGCAGAGAGTGCTCAGTGAGGGAAACCCTTAACTCTGCTTCTGTCTTTGATCCGGTTTGTTCCGATGAGAATCGATGCAGATGCACAACAGTGTGGCCTGATGTGGCCTTTTTTTTTTTTTTTTTTGGACCACCTTTCCCAAAAAAAACCAGGACACAGCAGCTGAGTGACACACCCACGCTCACACACCCACACAGCCTCAAATGGGGGCCCTCTTGCTGCGCTAAATCACGTCACATTTTCCATTTTCAACCTCGCGGCCCATGTCTGCCACATTTCACCACAACTCTACCCCTCCTGCAGCCTCATAGCGCTCCGTCAAGACTCCGATCACATTGGTCTCCATATTCTTCTCCGAACTAATTTTGCTAGTTAACGAATCACACCCTCTTTTGCTCTCTCACGCCAAATCGTGCGTTCTCCCCACCAATAAGATCTTCTGTTTTCCACCCTTTTCTCCTTCATTCCTCCTCTCTTCTAGCAGCCTTGGCCTCCAGCTGCAGACGCTCAGAGCAGACACAGCACACCAGCCCACATCAAGGCCACACTATTGGCCCACGTGTGTGTGTGTGTCTGTGTGTGTTTGTGTGTGTGTGTGTGTGTGCAGTCGTTACAGTGGGGCCACATAGGGTGTCACTGGTCTACTGCTACACACTGTAGGCTCCTATACATATTCATTTCTCAGCTTGCTGTGGTAAAAATAACTTAAATATAGCCGTGTCGTAACGCCCGAAGCCCCTTCCTTCTCATCAGGGAAGTTGTTGAAGTGCAGGATGAGCACACACACACACACACACACATGATGTCACACAAACACTCACCTATATATTACATATACGTACAGCTTCAATACAAGTCGACACAGGAAAAGCCTGCACTCGAGCCCGACCAATTACCAAGCAAACAAAGCCAGAAGCGGGGGCGTACAGTTTGAGGTTTGCTGATAAGAGGATGTCACACCTTGATAAAACTGGATAGAAAACTTGTAGTGCTTTCTGGTTTGATGTTTAGAAATGTCAGCTTGCAAGCAGAAAGAGAAGAAGAAAAGACAGAAAGGAGAGTGGGGTTAAGTGCTGCAGTGAGGGAAGCTAAGAAAAGGGGCGGGGACGTCTGCACGGCCTGTGAGTGATGTGATTGGATGACAAAGTTTCATTCACTAACAGATTTATAACAGTGGGAAACGCAGAATGTCAGACACACATTCTGCACAGTGTGTGTGTGTGTGTGTGTGTGGGTGTATGCAGGCGCATGTTTTGCCCTTATGTTCACATGTGAACGGCAGTTTCTTTTCTTTTTTTTTTTTTTACTGCTGCACCGTTGAACCCTTCTATCACTCTGGATCTTACAGTTGCTGCCTATGTGGCACCTTGTTCTTTATGAACTGATTGTCTGGCCCGGAGCGTGAACATGAGTCAGTGTGAATCTTGAAGAATGCTGAGGCATTCTTCGCCCTCAGTCAGTCAAAACAGGGTGAGAACCTGAGACAAGTACGTGTGTGTCATTGCGCGTACGTGTGCGCCTCCACCGCACAGACACACTTCTGCAAGCTGCATATTTGTCTGCAGTGCGAATACAGTTGCAAGTGCTCTTTTAGTGTCTTTGTGTGTGTGTGTGTGTCACTGTGAGTCTGGTGGCAAGAGCCTCACCCCTTCAAGCATTCCACTATCTTGCACCCACGCACTCACCATGTGACCCGCAGTCAATGACAGGAAATAAGCCGATGTCAAATCCTGCTGCCTGCAACCCAGATCCTCTTCTGCTTCCAGTCAAAGACTCAGCTTTGTGTGCTCAAAACACACCCACAGCACCAATATAAATCTATAGGAACTGTGCACCATGTCTTTTATCAAGAGTGCATGTGTGTGTGTGCACTGTTTAGTCATTCCTTCCTTGAGTAATTGCTTTCTTAAGTCAAAAGACGTACTGCAAATATGTTGGAGCACATACTTTTTTCAGCCTAACTTAAATCCTCTTTCACTGCAGCCCCTGTCATGCAGTACATGTCAACGGCAGGTGTAGCGCTGATAAAAAAAAAAAAAAAAACTTTCCTCAACTGCTCTGTTTACATAGTTGACACCCATATACACACAGACTTATTATCTTGTTTCCTGTTCCAGAGCTCCTGAGAGGAATCAAAAATCAAAGATTCTTACTGAGAGCGGGCATTTTTTGGGACACATGTCACACCGGGAGGTGAAGAAAAACAGACACACAGACTTTACATACGAAAAAGTGCTCATTCCAGACATGACTAAGTAAAACGTCTGTGCAGTGCAAAGTGTATATTTACCAAACCAGAGAAATGAAAGTGCACAGTTATTCCATTGCAGCGGCGGCTCTCTAATTAATTCTCCACCAGCGTTCGGCTCGACACGCACACATCTATGAAAAATAGTTGTTTACATCGCACGTGCCACAAACCCAACTGGTGTGTGTGGGCTTTTTTGTGTGGGTGGGTGCACGTGCATGCATACAGAGTTGAATGGACACAGCCACTTCTATGTTC